GTTTTATTCTGAAAACATTTCATTTCCGGTTAGCATTGGCTTGTGGCTAACGTTGTTGCTAAATGAATGTACAGTTTATTTTGAAAAGCTTTATTGAAAGGCGTCTCCGTTGTTACAATGACGTCACTGCCGGTTTCACGCTATCAATGATTACGTTCCATTAAAATGCATTAAATAAAAAGTCATGAATGAGTGTATGAGGAGAAAAGGCGTGTGAACACACAACGTCTAAATCCTCTGATTTACGTGATATCGGACACAGAAGAACACAAGGAGGGAGGTTCCCCTTTTACGTCAAGAGCCGCCATTGAGAGGAGGAGCCAGGCATCAGATATAGACAGAGGTGACGAGATTTGCCTGCTCTCTCGTCTTCCCCCCTTCCAACATGGCGCTGTGATGTTGAATCGCTGTTTGTTTCAAAACCACGTTACTTAATTAAAGTACCCATTTGAACCTTTTCGAGACTACATTAGCCGTGTTCACACCAAGTACTTTCCTGTACTTAGTTCCGGCACTAAGAGCCCTGGCGCTTTTAACCCCAGGGTACTTAGTACAGATCGCGTTCACACCGGAGTACTTTTCCCTGAGGGAAGATTACAAGTACAGTAGGTGGCGGTAAGCACCTTAAAGTTGTTTGCAACCCGCTACAAAACAAGAGAAGAAGAAAAACTGATACAGGATCTGTTTAATCGCCATGTCGGTTTTCTTTATTGCACTCTCAAGACATAACATTAAATAGAAATATTTTAAATGTAACTAAAGTGTCAGTTGTACATGTCAGTAAACATTGTCAATATAAAATAAAGTGTCAGTTGTACTATATAATAACAGTAATAACAATATAAAATAAAGTCCCAGCTGTAGGGAGTCTCAGCAGCAAACCCACCTTTATTATATATCTTCCTGAGACCCACTGCATCCGTCTGCCATAAACACTATGCAAACATACATGTTAGTTTTGGCCCATAGTGGACTCCATGTTGTGTTGTGTGAAATGGGGGGGAATTAAAAGTTTAGGTCAAATAATATTTAAAATGATATAAATTATCATATTTGTGTATGTGCCCCTGCCATTCCCCCACAAGGTTGCAACATTGATGATAAATAAATGACAAATAAAGCTTTGCCAGTTTATAACCGATGAAACATGATGGTATCAGAATAATCACTTACATGTGATGTATAGGATGCTACACAGGTCACAAAAGATAAAGTGTCAGGAGAAATAAGCTTAATCGCCATGTCGGTTTTCTTTATTGCACTCTCAAGACATAACATTAAATAGAACAATTTTAAATGTAAATAAAGTGTCAGTTGTACATGTCAGTAAACATTATATATAAAATAAAGTCATAACAGTAATAACAATATAAAATAAACTGTCCCAGGTGTAGGGATATTCTCAGCAGCATGCACACCTTAGTGCAACGTTGTGTGTCGTGTGTCAGTATTTACAAAAACTATACCAAATAAACTGTTATTAAATGCAGTTTGTCGCTCATCCTGCCGCTGCGCCGACGCTTCCTCATGGCGCAGCGCCCACACTTCATCCTGGTGCTGCTGGCGCTCCATCTGCTGCTTGAACACTTCTGCCTGGCGCTCCATCGAGGTGAGCATCTTGTCCTCCGTTTCCTGGGCCTTGGTGAACAGCACCATCTGATCTCCACGCAGCGACTCATTCACCACGGCACGCCGGTCCTCCAACGCCTGGGCGGTGTCAAAGAAATTCGCATCCCGTGTCCGCTTTCCTAAGAGGGGAAAATAAGCAATATACAATATACAAGTTTAGTCGCCATGTAGTTTTACAACATACTAGGAATGTGTTTTTTGTATTTTCACAAATAGAATTAAGGTTTCACAAATCTGAAACTGTGTTATAAAGAATGTTTAGACCCTCTGGGATAATCCAGTCCAAATAAATCGGCTATGCAGCGATTTAAGAGGTTCAAACACGGAGGATTGTTCCTTTTTGAAGAGTGCTTCATGTATGCTTGAACTTTGTTTAATGTTGTTGAGGCAAGTTAAACATAAAATATGATGAATATTATGAAATAAACATGATTGTGAACATCAGTTCGATGCGCAACGTTCTTTCAAGACAAAGTTACAGTGTGTGTGTACTGTGTGCTCGGGGCCGGTGTTAGCCTATTATGGCTAGCATGGCTAGCTTGATCTACTGAGCAAATAAAAGTACATCTGAGACCATTATTGTGCAGATTAAAACCCCAGTGCATGTAGTTGATTTTACCTTCGTCATCGTTGGCCACTGAATCCGCCGTTTGTAGTCCTGCCCGAGTTTCTTTATTTTTAGCCGGTGTGCCGTGGGGCTGTGTACATTCCCAGGTCGAGTGAAAGCTACTGAACTGGCTTCAGTGCATTCCCTGGGTCGCGTCCTCTGCGTAGATCTCCAGAAGCGCCGACACCTCCTCATCATTTCTTGATGCTTGCCATAACTGCTTTCAAAAACAAACACAACGCACGGAGCGTTGTGTTTTTGTAGCGAGGAAAAACAATGGCGGCTCTACACAACATTTTCAGAGTTGTACGGGCGTGGTTTGCAATTCGCCCAGCCAATCAGCACTGGGGCACTTTTGGAGAACTTTTCACCCACAGAAAAGTACGCTCTCTGAGTTGGCTCTAAAAATGGGGGTAAAAGTACCCGAGATTAAGTACGATTTTTGGTGTGAACGCGACTCACGGAACTAAAACGCGAAAAGTACGGTGAAAGTACTCCGGTGTGAACGCGGCTATTGTCTCTTATTTAACTTCCTCCTGGCCTCGAGAACAACGATCACGTTTCAACAAACTCCACACGCCTTTTCTCCTCATATTCTCATTCATTCGCTCGGACCCGAGGGGCAGCGGAGGGCTACGAGGGAGGTGGGGACGTGGGTAAGGATGAAGGGGGGTCACTCGGTTACAGAGTGCTTCCACAAAGGACAAGAGAGACTCAAGATGGAGATTAAGCATTTCTTACCTAATTTCAATTCCACTTCTTCTTTGTCTTCATTATTACGTTTTTTGTCAGTTCTAAATTTCAACTTGTACTTCACTAAATGTTCTCGTTGAATATCTTTGATGCCCACCCTGAGATCTTTACTTTTTTCATCATGGTTCACGGAAAATCTTCCCTCGCTTTTCCACACATTCTTTTTATTGGTTTGAATGATTATTTGTTTGTCCTTAAAGGTAGGGTAGGTAAGTTTGAGAAACCGGCTCGAGATACACTTTTTGTTATATTCCATGGAATGCTCTTAACATCCCGATAGCAATGAATATCTTAAGTGCTTTGACAAAAAATCCATACAAAAATTTCATCTGTGGAAGCCGTAATACTGTAAAAAGCACGACCAATCATTTTAGCCGGCCCGGCTAAAATAACTGGATGGCCTACCTGCCTGTCAGCGTTCCATCTGTGCACAAACTTATCTCGTGCCCTCATTGGTCATGTGCGCGTCTGTGTGTGTTGGAGGAGGGGCTCTGTAAGGAAGTGGCAGATTTTTTCCGGCTGTGTATTTTCAAATTCTAGCGATCTCGAGCTGGTTTCTCCAAAATTACCTACCCCACCTTTAACATAACCATAAAACATTAACATATTATATAACATAATCTTCATCATACAGGAGTCAGTCAGATCAGTGAAAAGTGCAAAGAGACTGTTATTAATTGTTCTGAGTTGTAAAGCAATATAACTGACCTAAATTAAATGTAGAAAAGCATGTCCATATGTTTCTAAATAGTCAAATACCTTTTAACTAAACAAAAACAAAATGTCACTGCCTGTTTAGTGGACAATTTTTTTATTTATAGTGCTTCATAAAAATGATGTATAACTATCAGTAAGCATCATTTATAAATATTATAATTCACATAAAGATGTCTTTTGACTGGCTGATTGTATGAACCTGAGTCTTGTAGAGACAATGTGAAAAACTATACGCTGTAACAAACATTAGCTCATTCAGTAGCAGCAATCATTTTACCTGTCATCAGTGAGAGGATGAGGAGGAGAAAGCTCTTCATTTTGTTGGTTTTAGACGCTGACTTCTTCCCTAAGATCAGTTGTCTGGTCTTGGTTGGTCTCCAGTATCTGATTCTGCTCAGCTCTATTTCCTGAATTTATATCTTTCATAATATCTAACAACTCCTCGCCCCCTTAATGTTCAACACTTACCCTATTTTCTTCCTTTTTTAAATTCTTACTCATTTCTGTAAAGAGTGAACACAATTCTTAGGAAGTCCCTTACTTTAACCTTATATATCAAGTGTTTGGGCAGTGATTTTGAGGTCAGCAGTGTGTGTACAGTGTGTGCTGTAAGTAAATAACTCTTTAAGACCACCTGTTGATAAAGGTGACGCTAACAGCTCTACCAACGGCTAATGTTCAAAGTCGTCATGATGTCTGGAACTGCATGATACTTATGTTTCCTAGTAATTTATCTATGAGAGGTTTTATTTTTACAACATTACACCCTCAGCTCGACTTAGAAAGCTATACAAAAAAAACCCGGATGTGAACCACAGGCCGACTCAACCCAAAGCACAAGACCATATGAATCTGCTGCTGATGGAGGAATGAAATCAGGTTCTCATGATATATCAGCATTAAAACTAAAATGTTACTAATAGATTAATCTGCAGCTTAATTACTTACATCTCTATTGCCTGTTGAACATTTCAATGTTGGTGTAGAAATTAATCTCATTGTTTTTCCCAGTAGTGTAAAGTCAACATCATTTACTAAAATAAATCATGCTGGAATGACAAAACTGAATAAAATGTACTTTGTATAAAGCCAAACAAAGCGTTATAAATACAGTACGTTTAACTTAAACTGCCCAATGTTTTTCCTTTTGGCTTGGTATTTAATTATAAATAAGCTGCAGAGATTTGAACACAAAGACATCTTTATTATCATTATTTCAAATCTGGACAAAAGAACGACCAAAAGAGAACTTATACCTCTTTAACCATTTCAATGGCAAACCTGTGTGCTCAGTATATGAGTGCCCTCATTTTTGTGTAGCTTAACCTTTTTAATGCACCTGAAGTAAAACAGCAAACCACATTACAAAGTTACCGAAATTGCAAGCAGCCAGTCCCTGTATGTCAGCTTGTGGTTGCATCAGTTGTGTGGGTTCAGTCCAAACAGGGGAAGTTCAGTTGACGCTGTCCCACTTAACATGAGTGTCCGGTGGTAGAGGAAATGACTCGAATGTTAGATACATTGTAACTGCATTGGCGTGCAAAAGAGGAAGAGCTGGTATATATTTAAAAAGATGGTGTGGCTAAATCTGAACAGATATACTGTTTACAGAGGAAGCTCATCAAATATTTCCTTCAATTGTAATGCAACCATGTATCACAAAAATACAAGTATACTTCCGAGACAGGTTTCAAATTACACATTTGTCAAATATAGGCAGACCAGTCATCGGGTTTGCAGTTAGAGGGGCCTGTTGGAAAGATATCAGAGATGTAAATCAAGTGATGATAAAAGTGAATGTAACATAAATTATATTATATACTGTATATATAATATTAGACAATCATACAGGGACCTGTTCGCTTTGTCTTCATACTCCTCTGTTTATTCTCATACAAGGTGCCCATCCTGTCAGAAACCAACATGAATGATGCATTATGCAGGGTTATTCTAACATAATTAAAGCCAGTTTGAGGGATAGAGTTCAATTGAACTGTCCTTGATAATGTAGGAACTACATTACTTTGTATTACTGTCCCTGCTGCTGTTTGCCTCAGAACACAAGTAGATTTTTGGAAATTAATATACGGTCTGACTGTGTTCTGTTCATTAGTTATGCCTCTGCTGCCTATTTGAGTGGCAAACTAACATTACTGTAGGCAGCTGTGTTTAAAAAAATGTGATTACACAAAGATTAGAGGTTGGTATTTTAATGTCTCATGCTTGAACCTGAATTTTGAAGAGAAAAAGCAGCTGAAATGTGTTTTTCGAGTCTGTTTGTGTGACTGTAGTTTGATAATTTGAAGAAAAACACAGTAAATAAACTTCTTACCCGTGTAGGCCAAATATACTGCGAGTGTAAGCAGCATCACATCCAAAGAGAGAGCCAAAGCAATCTCCAACACAGAGGCCCGATCTGCACGACAACACCACAATTACATCTTAATTGAACATAATGATCATCGAGAGCATTTAGACCTTCATATATGTTTGTTAATGGATTTTACCTTCAAGCAAATGTAGTTCTTAAGCGTTAAAATACCACCATGCTTTCTTACCAAAACCGTGATAAGAAACTGTAGCTGGCTGTATGGGGGACGATGCTGGTGAGGTTGTAGAGGGAACCAGTGACACTGAAAATAAACAGAACTGCAATTAATCAAATTGGACTTAAAAGGTTTTAAATGTTTTGTTGAAAAGGTAGTGACTTTAGGATGTTTGTGAGTGTTGTGTAACAAACATCTTTGTCTTACAACAGACACATTCTGCAAAGAGAAAAGACAAACTTTACATTTTTGAAAAAAGTAGAGACAGCGTCCAAGCTTTAAGAATCAGTTTTATGCAGATCCAAAATAGAACCCAACACTAGTTTTTTAGTGAGTGAGGACCATTGAAGGGACAAATGCAATGCTGTTCTTTGCACTCTGAAAAAGTGCTTGAAAGGTACATTTTGAAAATCTATCTCAGATTGATGTAGGAAAGCGAAAAGTAAAAAACTATTGCACAGGAATTTTTGTATTGAGCTTCAGCTTCAAGTTCTTGAATGTAAAGGCTCGCATTCCAGATTTAAGTGATCACGAAAAACTAAGATGAAATAATAGATCTTTGAAAGGGCATTATTCAAGATAAAAATATGTTTCATTTTAAACCAAAAAGACACACTGACAGCAGCATTTTAAAAACTCACCAACAGTCATCAGAAATCTGTGGTAGAAGTATTGGCCTTGTAGAGAGTCGATGTGTTCTGCTCCACACCAGTATGTCCCGCTGTCTTCCTTTGTTACGCCTCTCACTGTTATGGTGATGTTTCTCTTCTCTGTCTCATCAATCATGGAAAACCTCTCATTGTTCTGGGCAGCGCTGACTACATGTTCACATATAGATGGATCTTCTCCCTTACAGATGAACTTCTTTACTGGAGCACCCTCTGGATATTGACACCAGTATGTAATATTCTGTCCAATAGTTGGAGACCTATTGAAGTTTTTGATAGCAGCTGGAAACAGACAGACAGCATGGACTGTATTTAACAACACAATCAGATACACCTTTATTTTTAATTTCAGGTATTTAGTTTCTCACCTTTAACCTCCAGTTGTATTTTCCTGAGAGCAGCTCGGTAACTTCCTTCAGTTGATTCCACTCCACACCAATAGACTCCAGCGTGTTGTGTGGACACATTACTGATGGACACAGTGAAGCCACTCTCTGTTTCTGTGAGAGTGAACATCCCGTTTGACCTCAGAGTAGATTTTGTTGATAAAATATCTTCACAGATTGGACCGTTCACTTTGCAGAAAAACTTGAATCTGGAGTCCTGTTTGTTTCCTTCGTCACATGTGATGGAGGTTTTAGCTGTTCTGTACGCAGTTTGATTAAATGGATCCTTGCAGTCTGCAGCTACAAATAAAATAGAAAGTAAAACATGCAAAATGTTGTTATGTGCTTCACTGGTACAAACAAAATACCAAGAATAAACCATGAAATAAAATGTGAGTATTTGATTTCTGAAGTTATAGGAAATATCCGTTATGTACAATCTATAGCTTTATATGTGCCTGTAAAAACATAGTCTGTAACATTTGATTTATTACATGTGCAATGTTTCCTTAGGGAAAACGTTTGACCATGTTTTGATATTTTGTTAATTAGTTAGGGTTACTCACCAAATAACCAGCCTAGTTTCACTTTTGCAGGGGAAGACTCCCTTTTTCCGTATAGTTCACACATATATCTCCCAAAGTCCTCATGTGGAAGTTGGTTGATGATTACTTTGAATTTTTTATTTTCTGTATCATGGTACAGGTGAAATCTGCTTTTGTTTTCCCATACATCCTTCCTAATGCTTCCTATGATTGTTTCTTCTGCCTCTAATAAATCAATTCTTTCATAATTTCCATTTGCTTCAGGGTATTTAAAGATGAATTCAACCCATCCTTCTCTGCATCCCGTCACCACATCACTGGCCTCACATCCTGTGAAGATCAGACAAAGGCAAACAGTCACATCATGTCGGAGACAAAACAATCCCAGAATAATGACCTCTTAATCAACACAACCTACACTTACCAGTAGATCACAAAGATAAATCAGTTAATAGCTAGCAGACTACCTGTCGGATATTTTTCGCCTGAGTTTCCAAACGTTGGGATGGACGTCGCTCAATTTATAATTTATTCGTACAATGGTTCGGGAAACACTGTCAGTTTGAATACATTTTCCATGGCAGCCGTCAGCTGCAGATAAACATTCATGTTAAAACAATCGTAAGCAAGTCAACCACACAAACTAAGCTAACAAGGAAATACAACAAAATATAAAAAGAACAATATAAAACCCTTGGAGTATAAATTGTAAAGATCTATTTACCTTATCTATCCAATTTATATCTGCTTGTCTAGTCATTTGTTCTTTGTCCGACTCGTTAAGCCTAATATATAAGTGACAATTTGGGAATTTCTTAGTGCAGACACTGTAATTAATTGTAAAGCAGTCTAAATGCCCTATATTTATTTTATAAATGCGTTTTTATGCATTGTTTTTTATTATCAAATGAATGAACTAAGCAAAACAAAATGTATTACTGCACATATCAAAATATCCAAATAAAGAACATTTTCTTTTGACCCAGTTTGTTGATTGTATGAACCTGAGTCTTGTAGGAACAATGTTAGAAACCGTACATTCTTTTAGAGACAGAGCTATAACAAACATTAGCTCATTCAGTAGCAGCATTCATCTTACCTGTCATCAGTGAGAGGATGAGGAGGAGAAAGCTCTTCATTTTGTTGGATTTGGATACTAAAGTCTTCCCTGAGATCAGTCGTCTGGTGTTGGTTGGTCTCCAGTATCTGATTCTGCTCAGCAGTATTTCCTGAATGTATATCTTTCATTATATCTAACAACTCGTCGCCCCCTTACTCTTCTATCCTTCCCCCTTTTACCTCCTTTGAAGTCTTAGTTATTTCTCCTCCCCTTTATACGTACATATACACAGTTCATAGCCCAGTAAATTGAAACTGCCAATAAACAGTGAAAAACAATTCTTAGAAAGTCCCTCACTTTGACCTTATATGTAAAATGTGTGGGCAGTGAGTTTGACTCAGCAGTAATGTAGCCCTGCAGTGTGTGTACAGTGTGTGCTGTGAGTAAATGCTACTACTCTTTAAGACCACCTGCTGATAAAGGTGACGGCGCTCTGGTTAGCACAGAAGCTAACAGCTCCACCAACGGCTAATGTACAAATTCGTCATGACTGTCACTGCATGATACTTATGTTTCCTAGAAATGTATCTGAGTTAAAAGTTCAAGGCTTTATTGTCATTTGCACACTAGCTACAGTGTAGATATGGCAATGAAAAACTGAAGTCACAGGCTCCTCCAACAGTGCAACATATATATATATATATATATATATATAGGACATAGAACAAATAAAACAAATAAAATAGGGCAAGAGAATGTTTTGAGATGTGCAAGTAAATACAAATAAAATAGAAATAGTGCAAGAAGAGTATATACAAGTATGAGAGGTTTTATTTTTCAACATTACACCCTCATCTTGACCTAGAAAGCTATACAAAAAAAGGCCGGATGTGAAACGGGCCCATATAAGACTCAACCCAAAGCACAAGACCACATGAATCTGCTGCTGATGAAGAATGAAATCAGGTTCTCATGATATATCAGCTTTAAAACAAAAACATCTGCAACTTAACTACTTATAACTCTATTGCCTGTTGATAATGTGATGTTAGTAGTGTAAAGACCTTGTTTTTATAATGTACAGGACCTGTGATCAGTTATTTGAGCCGGTAATGTAGTCCATGGCAATGTAAGATGATTTGGATACAAGTGTTGGCTAAATAAAATGTAATCTAAGAGCAAATGAAAAAACAATTATCATTTGGATTTTAACTATTACAGTTCTGCTTATTCTTATTTTATATTAGGATCCCCATCAGTTTTAGCATGAACATAGGCTATTCTTCCTGGGGTCTGCACACACAGTCAAACATACTTAAAACTATGCAATTCACAATTCAGTAGGAAGTGAGAACAAACATGATCATCCTATTATGACCATTGTTAAGCCAATTGTATATAATACAATCAGTTGTACAGAGTCCCAGTTCAATTATACCTTAAAATAATGAAGTTTATTTTTATAAAATTGAATACAGTTCTTAAAGGGCCCATGTCATGGCCATTTCCACTGATCATAATTACATTGTTGAGGTATACTAAAATAGATTTATACTGTGCAATTTTCCAAACTCACATTGGTTTCGCATACAGCATCTCTGTCAAGCATGTGTATTCAGCAGTATTCACTTTCTCCACTAAACGACTCGTTGGAGCTCTTGCCCCCCCCTCCCTGTGAGCCTAGTGTGCTCCGATTGGTCAGCTCGGCCACTCTGTTCTGATTAGTCAACCACCAGAGAGGCTCCGCCCGCTTTTTTCGGGGAACATCAGTGTTCCAGGCGTCGGTACAGCTGATATTTTATACTAACTAACCGAACTGAACCTACAACTGTTGTTATAGAAGATTGTGACGGCCCCAGGGCCTTTGTGCAGGTGTGTTGCAGGGCTTACGGTGGGGTGGAGCTGAAGAGGGTAATCAGCGCGATCACGGACACTTCCGTAGCCGGTGCTATTAATCCCAGCGGCCCGGAGTCTCTCTCCAAAGCGGCTGCAGAAGGACGAACTGAGCGACCCTCTCCCCTCGACCACCTATCTCTGCATTTACCACAATAAATGTGCCGTGGTTTTGTAAACTCGTGTATGTCTCCTTGCCTTTCCGTTGTGGCCTACGAGCCAACATAACAAAGAGTAAGTTATTTTTACCTGTAATAAACTACTACTGTTTGATGAGAAATCAAATCATGGTTTGCTAATATATGAATTCAGGGAAGAAAGGATAGGCCTACTAAGTATTTCCATTAAACTTTATTTTTAGAAATGTACAAAATGAACATAAATATACATATATACACGGTATATCATCCATTCCTCCTCCTCTTGCCTGCGCACAGCCGGTGCGGTGCGGTGCCTTTTAGCACGTCCCGTCCCCGCAACCCAGTCTCACGGCATTTCGTGTTATAGTCACGTTATTTAATCTATTGATTCGTGTGCACCACCACGATTATCCCCTTATTTTCGTGTCACACAGAACGATTTTAAAAGCAATGTATTTCTATTGGTAATGTGTTTCGTGCCTGCAACACGTCTTTTTCTCGGTCTGGTCGTGGAAGACCGGAAGCTGTGTGGTTCATAAAAACATGTTCTTACTCAATATCAAGCCACGATTATTGCTTTTATTTAAAATCGTATCATTTCGGACTTTTGTTGCCGTCTGTGAGGAAAAGAAATGGGGCTCAGAGCCTCAGGATACTGAAATCTGTATTTTTAAAATCTTTTTTTCCTTCTAATTTGTTATTTTTTTTTAAATAACACACTGTTATTTACTCAACAATAACACACAATTATCCTTGTTTTTATTTATTGGTTTAATTCGATAATCTCTGGCTTTTTTTACGTCTGTCAGGAACTGAATTTCAAAATAAAGTCCGAAACAATACCAGAAACAGATTTAGGACTTTTCAATAATCCTCAGCGGTGATTGGATGTTTTAGCCGCAATGCACGTAGGGATATGGTGTTTATGCACACGTTTCTTTCGTGTCAGAAAGCACGATTTTCAAAGTAATGCATTTTAAGTGGAAGAATTGTTCGTGTCTCCTCTTCGTGTCTCGGGAAGCCGGAAGCTGTATTATTTTCTAATGTTTATTTTTTTTAACCATAACGGGTACTTTACACAACATTGAGTCAAACTTATCCTTGTTTTAATCCTTGTTTTATTTATGTTAAATTCTTGTTGTCGGTTAATTTTCCATTTTATTTATTAAGGTTTAAGATATCATTAGTCTTTTATTTTATTATTATCATGCTTGGTGTTTACACTTTTCTGCATTTTATAAGGCAATATATACTTTTTTGTTTTTGTCTGTAGGCTACTTAGGTTATTAAATAGTTATTGTGTCAAAATATAGGAAATGTATTAATATTTTATTGTATAATCGGTACAGGAAATGACATAATTCAGAGCACCACCACCGGTCCGGCATTGCTATCCATCCTCTGACAAAGTAAGTTGTGTCACTAAAGTCTGATGCATGATTTAATAATTGGGGCTTTTTTTTAAGCCTTTACTCGCATGGTTCATCATACATAATGAACTGTTCTAAATCTGAGAAATGCTTTCGCCATTATCAGCAAAGCAACATTAATGTGAAATTATTCTTGCGGGCGCCTAGCTAGCTAGCTCACGTTCAACATAAGCTTAATCTAGTTTAGCTACATTTATATCAGCTCATAAGTGGTGTGTGGAAAATATTTGTCTTAATTACGGCTACATACTTCGGTGTTAAAGTGTGAGTTATACGTTATCTTAATCGCTTTTGTTTTACACATGACAGTACTAACGCTGCAGAGTGGACATTTAACATATGTTTGGGGGGGAGGGGCATAGTCCATGTGCACGTCCATGTGCTTGTTCCGCGTCTGAAACAGGAAACACGTAAATGAACTCACTCAGTCTGTCTAAAGTAGTTAAACCGTCACAATGTGCATTTAAAAAAGCTAGTTTCACTACATAATTCACTTTTTCTGTTCTCTCCTGCAGCTCCTGTACCCACACCACAAACCCATACACTGATCTACACCATCATAAAACCAACGGCACTTTTAAGAGCCAAACTCAACCTATCTCTCTGTCTATCTACCTAGCTTTCTTATAGTTATTGTCTCTATCTTTTTCTATCATTCATTATCTATTTCTTCATCTATCTATCTCAATCTTACAATCTGTCTCACTATCTCTGTCTGTCTCATACAGCAGCTGTTTGTTTGCATATCTGTTGTGTCTGTCTGTCTGTCTGTCTGTCTGGCTGGCTGGCTGGCTGGCTGGCTGTGTTGCAATGGCAACAAAACACAACCCAGACCCCAATAATCCCACATCCAAAGAAGGGAAACGCATGGCTCTTGAGCTGAAGCATGAACACATGCTAGCTGAAGCTAAGGTTGGTGTTTTAATCCATATGATCTCATTCATTTCCTACTTGAATGTGGCACTATCTCTTATCCAAAAAATGCTGAACAGGCCAAGAGTAACTGGATTTTGGATCAATGTATAGGGCCTTTGCAAAACAGTTCATCATTACAACATGGGGGGCAGAGGCTTACTAAATAAAGCTTGTTCAACTTGTTTTACTTCATTAGTTGGATATGGTAGGAAAAACTTGAAGCAAAAATGTTCTTCAAGTGAATGAATTTCCTTTTATTTGTCCACTGTCATATGGTATCAGTTTATCAGCAACATCAACCTTACATGAGTTGTTACTTGGTCACAGAAAGCAGCTGAGGAGAGGAAACGGGCACGCTCTGTAGGAGACACTTTACAGTCCCCTAAAAGGGGCTGTGTAGGACGTGGCAAGCCGAGAGGGAGGCGTGGAGGGCGACGCCAAGGCTCAGCTACAGGTTGAAATCCCAATTATTTTACATTTTTATGAATTTACTAAGTAAATGGTTGGAAAATCTAATTAAAACACAGTAATTGCTTGTTGAGGGTCTACAATAATTCCAATATATAAACGCATAGTGACACTCCAGTCGGAGACATTCCCACTGTGGTGTCATAAGAACTATGCTTTATTTAATTTCACAAGCTTTTAAACAATAGGTAGATAATACAAATCATCAGTTATCTGTTGTTAACCCTCTGTGTGATGTTTTACAGTCACATCCCCCCGACTGAGGGCTTCCAGTCATCCAGTGTGGAGGTTCTGCGTACTGAACCTTCAGCACAACATGAATTTGGTAAATCACAAAAATGGCTTTAAGTTTAAAACTAAAATCAATTTTTAAATAAATTGTGTTAGTGAGAGAAAATAACCTTATACACAACTGACAGTTCAGGACTCGAACGAGGAATAATTCAGTAAAGATATTGGCCAGTTCCATACTGAGCAAAGAAATGATCCTTGATTTTTAGTGTTCATCTTAAATATAGTCATTTACAGTTAAAGTTTCACATTATGTTCACAGAAAAGAATATGGAGAGACTCTCTGACATTCTTTCCTCATGTCCTCCTCCTGAGCCTCAAAGAAGCTCTGCCTCATCCTGGTCTTTTCGGCAGCAGAAAGCCTCAGAGCGCTGGAAAGAAGCGAGGCCACACCACCTACAATGCCTTCTAGAAAAAGAGGCTGTTGGTCATCCCCTGTGTGGCCTCTGCCACGAGCCGGCTGTTATTAGGTGAGATAACATTTACCTTTATTTAAATTACTTTACCTAATTGTAATTTTTCAGTATTAATGCTCAGTGCTCTGCTATTTCAGCTAGCATGCATGACTTTTGGGATGTTAGAAAACTGGATACCTAGAGAAAACCCACATGAAAATGAAAGTAATTCTAGGATATTATAATCATTTTGTATTTCCTCCCAAGGTGTAGAGAGTGTCTCCCCGAGGAGTGGTTCTGTGGAGACTGTGATGTACTTCATCACAAGAAACAGCCACTCCACAACAGGGACAGTTTAATGAATGGGTTTTTTAAACCAATTAGTCCAACAACGTGTGTTGTTAGAGTGGAAGGTGGATATGACACCCATGACCAAGGTATGCTCTCTCAAACTTGCATTTTGATGTTCACATGTCTCTTCGGCCAGCAGATAATGGTAATTAGTGCTTTTTTTTTTTTTTTTTGACAGCTTGCATATTGCCAACTGTGAAGGCACCCAACTGCTCCTGTAAAGGCAAAAACTTCACTGTGGTACCAGGCAAACCAGTGATTTTAATTACCATCAATGGTAAACAAATATATATATATATTTGGATTTCTATTGAATTGTTGTTATATTTTTACTGTTGTGGGCTGAGGCATTGTGCTTCCAATTGGAGTAAAACCTTCATGTAATATCTGTTAATCTTTGACTATTTGTAGATGGAACTGTTGTAAAATGTGTCTTAATTATGTTTATTTACTTGTTCCAAGGGCGTTATGACTTGCATCTGCCACTATATGTCTGTCAAACTTGCCAGCAGCAGTGGACCCCCGACTTGAAAGTCCTCCTTAAGAGTGGATACTGGCCAGCTTCGGTCAGTATTTCCACACTTTACACCTTGGACCTCATGAGCTCCTTTGAAGAGCTCAAGGTCATCTCTCCGGGATTCTCCAGACAGGCCTTTGCAAAGCTGCTGGAGCATCGCACAAAGTGTGGAGGAAGAGTAAGTATAAATATTCGTTACCATATTATACATTATAACATTTCCGTAAATAGACAAAATCACAGCAATTATGTAATTATCTTCCAGTCTGGACCTGTCAACGGAGATGCACTGCAGCGCAGCTTTCTGGAGTTCTCCTATGCCTCGTATGAGGAAGACCAGCTCTGCTGTGGTGCTCCTTTCATCTGCCCTGCCTGCACGCCGGAGATGTTGGCTGTTTCTGCCGATGGAAACAGGAAGCTCTATCGCTTTCGGCGAAGTGGAAGGTGCTGTTTTTACAATGTTGTTATTTAACTTTTTTGATTACTGTTTATATTTCATGGATATATTTGCTAATCTTTTTTTCCTTAGTTCTGATGGCAGCGCCTTTTTTAATGGGCTCTTTGTAGCAGAAGACAGCGCGGTGGCTGCATTTGTCGACAAAATACAGAGATCACTGAAAAATGCAAGTTTTTATTCGTCATTTTACCTTATAGGTATATCACAAAAATAGCCATGTATATCTGACCTAGACTTTCTTCAAATTCAGCTACTTCTCCTTACCATCTACTCCAAAATCAGATAATTAGAACAAATGGTGTAGATTGTGATTCCATTGCTTTTAACTGATTTGTCATGATGTAATGCATGTCTTAGACCCAGGGAAGAGGCACATGTGGGGACTCCCAGTGGACAGCAGCGAGGGAGACGTCAAGGAGGGCTTCTAAGCTGGATGAAGAAGGGATGGAGGTGGCTGTATGTCGCCATGGGTTTCTTTTGAAGGCCTTAAATATGTACAGGGGGGAGATATTCGCCTACCCCCTGTATCTTCAAAAGGAACTTGTGCCAGCCAAAGCCAAGTTCTTCGCCATGGATGTGGCTTGCAAGTACTGGCCGTACATGGAGAAAGCTGCAAGTGTCCTTCCTGCTCTCCAGGAGCTGACCACCATGAAGCCATTCCTCAGTGTAATGCATGCTCGAGCCCATGCTACCAAATGCGAGGTATGTGAAATATTTTTGTATCACGTACATTTATATTTTTTATATTTATAATACTGAAGTAGTAAATATCTAAGATATACGGTTTAGTATAGTAGTATGTAGCCTCTTTGCACAACAATTCCAGCAACCTTTTACCATCAGATTATATGGAGTGGGAAGAACCAGGAGGGAGCAGGGATGACCGCCGGGGAAGAGGTGGAGCAGGTCAACAGCTACCTGTCCCGTTGTGCCCTGACAACCAAATACATGTCCAAAGCAGGTGAGTGGAAGGTTTTGCCCTATTATTGCATACTTTTTTAGATGACACATCATAACCTCATTATTGCTTTCAAAAGCACGACTGGACATGCTCACAGTGCATGCTATGGGATGGAACAGGAAAAAAGGTGACTCCCTTCATCAGGCACTTTCCACAAGATATGTGAAGGTGAGCCTCCTATTAAAGGTGTTGTGTCCTTTGTCATTTGCACATGGCTTGTTGTTAATCATAGCAAGTTTTAATCTTGATAAATGTCCATCGTCTACTGTTTATCAGACTAGTAAGAGGCTCCTGGAAGAGACTGCAAGTCTTGAGGAACTCAAGACGCAGCTACATTGTGTCTCAGATGACATGGTGTCGACGTGAAGGAATGGGCATCTGGTAAGCACGACGAGATAACACCAGCTACATATCATTGTCCATGACTGTTTGAATTTACAGATTTGATCCTAAAGAGCAGCCAATGATATAAGGCTGATTTTTCATGCCACGTAATGGGACCCTCACTGGATTTCAGTAGACGGGGACATAATCTTCAAGCAATAGCAAGCCAACTATGTGTCCATGTTTATCTCTGATATGTTCCAGTTTCCATAGTTGTACCATCAATTTGTGTTAAAAGGTGTTACACAACTTTGTTTCTCAAAACCGTTACGTGTTGTGTAACAGTACATTTTATTGCCACTATTATTTCTACAGGAACATCAGAAACATCGGGTACTTCTGAAGACATCCTTCAAACAGCACTGCAGCAAAGCATTGAGGGGCTTTACCTAAGTGTGAGGCAGCGGAAGCAATCCCATTACAGACAGAATGGTATAACAATATAATGTTTTAGGTTGCAGATTCAACCTACTGAATTACATGTTTGGAGTTTTAAACATATTGTTATGCTATAATGAAAATGTGACTCATGTATACATAACTGTGATTGGACTTTAGCTAACTTTACAGCCAAGAAAAAGATACTGGATCAAGTGATGCTTACACGGAGACTGCAAGAGGAGAAAGGCATCCTATTGTTGGAGATGGCGCAGCATTGCACATGGTTGCAGAACATGGCAGTTGCTCTAAAAAATAAGGTGGCTGAGGAAGGTAAGTTGAAAGCAAAACTTAACCTACCTTGTAAAGTATGAGTTTTAAAGGAAAAAAGTCAGCCCAAATCATTCTTGGTCACAGAAATTGGATGGAGTATAATGGCCTTTGCCCATTTGACCCGGCCATTTTACATAATGAAGTCCCTTGACAGTGACAATCATCTTTATGTACATGGGAGAGAATATACTCCATTGAAGTGCTCTGGCCTCGTGAAGCAATCTTACTTTATAGTATGTCCATATAACAATATTTTGTGTATTTTCAGATGTAGACAAGGGGAATGTAGGACTTGGGTGCACCCTAAGAAGGAAGCATGCTGAGGCGTCGGAGAGGTTGCAGGTGGTACTGCAGCAGTACAAGACTGCTTTAGGTCCTGATGCTTCTTTCCTTCAACATGAAGAGGAAAGTCAAAGTGGCCTAAGCAGTCCAGACACCAGTGAGGATGAAGAAGGAAACATCATTTAGGTAATTTACTTAGGAATTAATGTACAGTATCTTTGTTGATTTAGCCTCAACCTAGACATGTTGCTGTTACTTTTGTATTCATTAATGCTAAACATACATTGTGTATTCAAAAACCTCAAATGTGGGTTCTGATCTGCCCCTCTTTTTTGTTTCTCTGTATTTCCCCAGATTGCTGCTGCTCTCAAGCACGAATATCCGCCAAGACTTGATGTGCTATCAGAAATGTAAATACTTTACTGACTTTATATTTAGAGATTGTATTCATACTCCTCAATGGAAGATCACCCTTGAATATGTTGACCATATGACTTTTCCCTATGCCGCAGCATCAGGCCAAACATTTCACTTGTACACAACTTAAATGTTATTGAACAAAATGCTCAGCGTCCCTGGAATGCATCCTGAGCAATGAACCATTCACTTTTGATCCTTTTTGAAACACACATGTCCAAGTATATCTTGCTGGTTACCAAACAACTTAGTGAGCACATCATTGTCCAAGAGCAGGAGGTCTTTCCCTTTTTTCCCAGAACGGGATGCCTATGCATTATTATTTTCGATCTCTTATAGGATTTACCTGTCATTAACTTTATATGACTGCACCTGTTACACTGCAGGCCAATAACAGCTTTGCTCTAATTGTTCATTTTTGTTTCTTTTGCGTTACTTGCTTTTATTGCTTTGTCAGTTATATTTCCTTTTTGATCTCCAGCTATTAACCTGATTGATTGAAGTACTTCAATCAACATGTACAATGCACAGTCTTTTAGGATGTATAATTAGGGACATTGAGATAAACAACAAATAGTTTATTTGGTGAATCACCTCATTGTTGTTCTCAAAACCAAATAATACATTGTTATAAATTGTTATATTTGATTTACACATAGAATGTATATGTTTAATATACATAGTTAAATCCTAAAAAAATGGTTGTGTTGTATGATTTCTTAATACTGTATGTTATAACCTTTTGCATAACTTGATTTTATGTTCTGTTGTCCATGCTTTTCATGTTAGACTAACCCCAACGCTCTAGAGTCAACATACACCCTTATGGTGGCCTTTTACTTGTATTGTGGTGAAACACATAAGTAAATCATTGCCAGAGAGGACCATTTTATTGTTTTAAAAACAATGTTATTGATGTGGTTGATTGATGAATAAATATAAATTAAGCATACTTCTGTGGTACTTTTTGTTGTTTACATCACACTGCATTATAATGCGTTTGGAAATAAATTCATTTAGAAGTAACAATATGAGTTAGCACTTGAATATTTTTGTAAAGAGATGATCCTCATCTGGAACACTGGTTGTTAGTTTAAGATAAGATAGAACTTTATTGATCCCAATTTGGGAAATCTTTGCGTTGCAGCAGCATTAAAACACATGGCATTATACAATAAAAAGACAAGAAATAAAGAAGAAAATATACATGTTGAATTTACAAATGAGCAATAACAAGATATAAAGCAAGGTATTATATTTACATAAGTATGTGACAGATGGAATATTAAATATTACACTGAATATGTCAAATGTACTGTGAAGAGAGAAGCTATGGAGCAGAGAGTTCTCTTCCAGCCAGAGGTGATTTGTTGTACAGAGTTATTGCAGTAGGCAGGAATGTTTTCCTGTATCGGTTCCTGTGACAGCGGAGCTGCAGCAGTCTGTTGGAGAAGGAGCTCCTGTCTGTCCAGGTGGAGAGGGGTGGGGTGGGGTTATCTGTCTGTCCAGCTGCAGGTGGAGAGGATGGGTTACCCATGATGGAACCAGAATAAGGTTTGTTGGCTTACACGCCTTTCATCGTAGTGGAAAATATTGTCATATGGAATATTTTTGGATAGTTTCACCATTGAAATGCGTTTGATAACACTAGGTGCTCTAGTGCCAAAGTTGTGGCCCTAAAAAAATATCAACTATTCATTTGTATGGCACCCAGAGCTTCCACATTTTAGGGAATATGTTTTTTGATTTAAAATATCATCACTGTCATAAGCAATGGTTTCATTAAAACCCTCCTATTGTCTTTGTTTCCCCCCCCTTACTTTGGTGTCAAATTTGACCGGTCCTGTTTTAACTGCTATTACATTAACACAAAAACCGTTAATCATCACCAAATGTAATTTAACACCCTTTCGAACTGTAAATATTGTATCAGACTACTGGTATACATGAACAACTGCAGTAAATATACAAAGAATAGACACTGAACATGTATTGGGTGTGCCGGGGGGATGGGCACATAAGAGCGGGAAATGTTTCAAATTGGTGTGTGTGTGTGTTTGATCTGATCCGGATGGTTACTAATTCCTTGTCTTTATGGCGGGAACACCATGGGTGTTTCAAAGTTGACTAAATAATCCAAAGTTCAATGAAAGTGGTGATCAGCAATTTAATATGTTCAAATGTCTACTGTGGAGGACAGGGGCGTCGCCTGGACCTGAAAACATTCGGGGCTTAGCCCACAGTGGCGGCGGCACGACAGTGGCATTTTTTACTGCAACACTCCCCACACGCACATACATAGTACACCCGCGACTGTTACAATGAAGGCTCGATAATCAGCTCACGGCATATAGGCAGGGGTAAAGTGGTATTTTTTATGAGTGGGGGACCTCACCTCCTCTAGAGGGGTCCGGGGGGATGCTCCCCCGGGAAGATTTTTTTTTAAATATTGAAGTTAAATGCATCAATCTGGTGCACTTTGAGAGCAAAATGAAGAGATCTATGGATACCTCTCTCAACACCCATATGAAGCAGAACTGTAAACAGATGTACTTTTTCTTTATGGATATTTTACTAATCACTCCCCTTTTAAACTCTATTCTTGTTTTACTGCCATATAGTATTTCATAACTGTTTTTCCTTTATTCTCTTTTTTTTAATAACTATAATGATCATATGAAGGTGTGCCGCGGAAATAATATTTTGAATAATTTGTGACCAAACCGTTTGAGACCCACTGAGATAACTTAGACTAAAGTTATGTATCTAAACACTCAGAGAGTCCTTGAGCTCACCTGAGTCTCTCAGTCTGAGGAGAGGACTCTCCTCCAGCTTCTTGTGGAACAAACAGCTCCTTATGTCCGTTAGTGCAGCGAGCTAACCAGATGCTAACAACACGGTCCATGCTGGTCCATGCTGGTCCCTCCCTCCCCTCTCCCTCTCTCTCTCTCTCTATCACACTAAATGCGCTATTGCCACACACACACACAGAGCCGAGCTTGAATGACACAAGCACACGTTTATTTCCATGCAACTCTCTGATTGGTCTGGTGTCATGCCTCTGTTGCATTCACTGAACACGGGAAATTACAGTGCTGCCGTCCTCTCTTGTGTCATGATGAGGTTCACGTAAAGCACGGTTAATGTATTATATTATTGAGGGAGAATTGTCCGGGGCTACAGAAAAAACATTCGGGGCTAAAGCCCCGGATGCCCAGGCCAGGCGACGCCACTGGTGGAGGATATCATTATGCCTTAATGCAATCGAATGTAAAACAAAAAAGTTATGATTGATGAAAGTAGTAAATCGGTCAAATTTGAACCAAACACAACAGGAGGGTTAAAAGCATAGCTATGCTACACACTGTAGGCTACTGTGCTTAGAATGGACTGTTATTTCATATTAAAAAAATAAACTATTTTTCTTTTACTTTCTTTTTTACAAGTGTGCATGCGCTACAGTCGTGCTGCCATAAAAGACCCCCTGATCACCTCGCAGCTGTCCAGCATGAAATGAGGTCATATGAGGTCATATATGAGGCGGCTGTTGTTGGGGAATTACTTTAACTTGAATTTGATTTGTATTTCTTTGCTGGATTATTGACCTCTTCTCTCCCTGAGAGGAACAGGCAGCAGCCCCAGGGCTGTCACACGGTTCTGTACAATATGTAAACTCTCCCTCCGTCTCTTTCGGGCCTATAACAGCGATGCCCAGGAAACCATGGAAATAAGCCTCCATTCATGTTGGTTACATGTACACTCTTGCTGATGTTAAGTACAATCTATGGCTTCTTCTTGCCTGACCAGACCTCTCTCTAGGTCGTCCTCAGACGAGCCCTCCATCGTCGCTTCCAGTCATCTCTTTGTTGAGTAGGTTAAATCAGCCGGGCAGGGAGAGAATCTTCAGAGTTGATGGTGGCGGAGAGCTGGGCACAAAGCTCTAAACTCAAACAAACAGTGTTTGTGCTTCTGTCATTTGTCAAATCTCCAGCACAGACTTTTTATCTCATTATTTCTACTTTTCTATCTCAAAAGATTATGACTTTTTTATCTCATAATTATGACTTTTCATTGGGAAAGTCTTTTTTATTGGGGAAACAGGCTTCTATAAATAATAATGTGCAATTACATATACATTTTATTTTACTTATAGAATAAGAAAAATAAACATAAGAATAGTCTACTGAAGATAAAAGCATGGACAAGTTTTTCCAAATCCTGCTGTGACATTAGTCTTTTAATCCTAGATATGTTCTTTAGGTGATAGTAGGCTGATTTAGTAATTATTTTAATGTGACTGTTGAAACTCAGGTCAGAGTCCATGGCTACACCTACGTTTCTGGCTTTATATGTTTTTTTTAACATTGTATGTTGAGTTGGCACCTCAGCTCAAAACATACAAAAACACAGAAGAATAGAAAGTTAACCCATTGAAATGATATGAGAGCAGCGCTACAAACTACAATTCCCATTAGATACGCGCCGAAACATCCTTACGAAGTACACAGAGCTGACATATTTGTAGTTCTTCCGGCGTGTGTGCGTGGACCAAGCCCCCAGGAAGTGCGCCGGACTCAGATGAAAATATTCGTGCTGGCCAAACGGCGGTACTACACTTCCTTTTGGTTGCCAGGCCCGGAAACACTTTTTCCCATTGACTTACATGGGGAAAGAGTGGTCTGTAAATCGTTGGATAATTTTTTTTAAACTAAATAAACTACCCAGTATGAACACTTGTATAGCCCTTATTAAAAACATTCGTTCCTTAAGTTGTAAAAATGTGCTAATAACGTTATTCTGAGAGTTATTTCCCTCTGCATTATGAACGCGCATCTAACCCACGGGACCGCGCCGCCCGGCACGTTCATGTTACGTGTTCAGCAGATCTGAGTTCGGGTACCGTATCTGTGACGTGACAAAGGGTCGCCATGACAACGTGGGGATGAGATGTGGATAGCTTTCCAGATAAAGACCATCCTGATACTCGAGTTGTGGTTTTCAATAAGTGAAAAAGAAAATTCAAAGTAATCACTACCATTTTAATATGTCCCCAAAAGCTTTCAAATGTAGTAGCAAAACCACAGTGATCCAGATCAGGATCATTTTAATTAGGCCTATAATTAAATGATATGCAAGCCTACCTGCAAAGCGTTATACTTCGGAAGTTAAACAAATTAGATAAGGCAGTGGATGGCAACGTACCAGATTTCACACATGAATAAGCTTAATATAGGTTATGGTGTTCCTATCACTGACAATGAAATCATGTAGTATTTCAACTGTAATTTCCTAAAAAGTCAAATGCATTTTGGTGGAGGTTTTCATCTTATTTCTAATAGAAACATATTAAATATGACTCAAATGGAGCATATAAATAAGAGAATAAACGTGCAAAAACAAAACTGGAGTTCAAATAACAGTTTTTATTTTTATGCATTATCCCAGAGAATTCTTCGGCTGCCAGGAATGAGCCCACTCCTTGCCACTGAAAACAGAATGGAATAATGTTAGTTACAGGTACTGGTTTCGTCTTTCCGAAAAGCATAAAACATGTGTGAAGCAAACATCTTATAACTCAATTTATATAAGTAAATGTTTCATTTTCCATTTATTAACGACCACCACCATTTAGAAAAAGTGAACATAGAAATGAAAACACATTTTCAAACAAACAATAAAAACAAACCAAAATACATACATTAACAACAATGAAGTTAAACAATCATTTGTTCCTACACTACTTCAGCTGCTTCAGAATAACAGCAGTGAAATATATAAGAGGACTGGTGGTAGATCTGGATGTTTTGCATTTGTTAAATATCATGTGTTTGTTCTCCAACATGGGACTACATCAGATGACATGAAGCCAAGTAACTGGAAGATATATACCATACTGGACAGGGCTCCCACTCCACCAACATTTCTGCTTTTCCCTATCAAGAGAAGAAAACAAATCTCTAATTTCGGAAAGACCAAACGCATATTAGCTATTTAGCAAACAATTGTGGTGGAAATCACATAAATCATAAAGCACACCCTATGCATTACTTTTATTCCTGTCTAACCTTTCTCATTCTTTCTCTTATTACACTCCTGATGGGGAAAGTTTCTAGGCGAGTGTGGTAGGAGCAATCTGTGAACATCAAAGCAGGTTCCACATACAGTATTAGTCATATTAGAAATAAAATAAATACAACTATGAACACTTAAGTAGCAACCAGAATTGCACGATGAATAGTGATCACACTGTTATCACTGGTCAAAAGTTACTCTATACATCATTGAAATGGAACCAAGCTGCTCTCGGTCCTAAAATGGGATGCTTGTTTGAATGGCCATACCACTGCTGAGCCTGAGATGACCAAAGAAAATACTGCACTGCTGCTTCCTTTACTGCCTAGCATTCTCATCACCACCTTATCAACTATGACTGTATGTATTTTAGTCTAATTAGACAATTAAAGCCCTTTGGATTTTTGGATAATGATTTTTGGATAATGTATCAGTTATAGTTATTAGTCACAATATAGCTTTGTTAACTCACTGAAGAAGCATCAATCACTGCGTTTACATGCACTTTGCTAAAGTACATGTCGATAGATTTATTATAATACCAATCAATTCAACTCATGCACATGTTTATAATCAGTCAAAATACTTAATACTGTTAACATACCTGACTTTTTCTTTTTGCGTCTAGGACCAAGTACTGTGTCCCTCACGGACCCTGTCCTGACAGCTGTGGGTTGAAGAAGAAATATTACTATATACATACAGTATACCAAGTTAAGCTTAAACTCAAGTTTCAAAATACATCCCACAAATGCAGCATCACATGAGGTGGCAATAGGTGTTAGGTACAGATATCTTTTTGTTATTGCGATTTAATTGAGGTTGATCTATGAAGTCTAGGTGTTTTGTTGTCTTGCCTATATAATTGACTCCATACTTTATGTGTAAGGAATAGTTTGATAAATATTAACATGTTGTGCTGTAACGTTAAATGAATTTAACTTTGATTCAAAAACCTAAGTTTATTCCCCGCATATTCATTATGGGACAGTGTCATATCTAAATGCAGTTCTTGAGTATAAAGTTTAAATATGCTGCATGACGTTGTTGCATGAGTTGCTTCAAAGTTTACCCCTAGGGTCAGGGATTGCTTTAGGTAGACCACAATATTAATGATATCAACCTCTCGTACAATATATGGACAAGTGCCAAATCATTTTGATGTAATCGACCTACTGCCCAACGCTACAATGTAAGACCCTTTCTGTGTGTAAACAAAATGACATGAGTTTTATTTTGTGATTTATCAAATGTATAGTAAGCCTGCTGTTGCTTTGCATTTTTGTGTGAAAAAGGTATAACCATATAGTAACCACATGTCTGTTCAGGAATGAAAGACTGTATTTTTCTAAATGTTTCATATTTATTTATATCCAAGTACCTAAGGATATACACATACCCAAGTATCCCATTTTCCTTTCATATTTATGAAGTTGTAGGTGAAATTGTTATTTAGATTAAGCTATTGTTGTTATTATTATTTACCTATTGGAACAATCATTATTCCCAAAAATGCAAGAAGTGCAATTAGGTGTTTTGAGATATTGTAGAAGCATGACTTGTCAACAAGTTACCTACAATAATCTTTTAGGAAAATATCGGAAAACACTCTTGACTTTCATAAATATAAAAGCTGCAAATCTCAGAGAACAAATGTCACTGTGTGTGCTGTGTGCTCTGCATGTGTGACCATTAAAGAGGGTTTCATCCCTCCGATTCGATCTATCTATTTTATTACCTGGCCCCTCCGTGGTGGTAGCCTGTCTCACATCATCCCGCTGGGGCTGCTCCTCCTGCCCCACCTCTATGATGGTGCACTGCTTCACGGGGGGGTCTTCAGCACCTCCACCTGCACGGTGCTTGTCTCTGGCACCTGGCTCTCTGACGTCCCTGCCTCCTGCCCTACCTCTTTGGTGGTACACTGCTTCACGGGGGGGTCTTCAGCACCTCCACCTGCACAGTGCTTGTCTCTGACGTCCCTGCCTCCTGCCAGTTGTTTTCTGGTTCAGATGGGTCACAGGGTGTGAGGTTCAGCGTGACTGTCTCTTCCTCAGGATCTTCCGCAACCCCCTGGCCAGTGGAGTCCTGTGTCCAACCTGTGCAAGTTAAACAAATGTTGGTCTTGACTTGCTTAAGACAAAGAGGTTAACTCATATATCTAGAAATAAGAAATACAGCGTGCTTAAGGTATGTTTCCAGACAGGGTCAAAAATATACTCGTCATGTCGTAGGACTGTGTGCAGTCAAAGTTAATAGCAGTAATAGTGGTATTTATCCAGTCAACCATTTATGGTTTTGTTTTTGCGATATTATTCTTCCGATTTGTGTCTACATTCCATGTGATGTGACATGTCAATTTGTCGGTAGACAACATATAGACGTGTGCATGTATGTTCCCTTACATTATTTACATCCACACATTTTGTTCAGAATTTATGAGACTGACGCAAACGTGTTTTGCATAAGTGTAATCAAATAAGTAGCAAGTCGCTTTGGATAAAAACGTCTGCTAAATGTAATGTAAAGGGACCTCTGGATGCACTGGATAACTGCTTTTGTTTACAACCCGAGAAACATGACCTTAATACAGAACTGCCAAACTGAATATGTGGTCAACTGGGATCGTCTTCATGTATTGTGCTCTTACCATTAACCTCAAAACATTTCTCCCTTTTGGGCGTTGATAAAGGAAACAGTTTAGGAACGGTTTGCTAAAAGGAAATTGCTTAAGGGATGGCTCAAGCCTAAAACTACATTTCAGTCATCAAACCCAACTACCTTGACATTAACAACTTTCAATTTGTATACAATGAATGCGCAAGTGGTAGCACAATACCCCAAAATGGTTTTTCAAATTCAAGTAAACTTGCCTACCTATTTCCTGATAAATAACAGTTAAATGTCCACAAGTCCCCTCTGCAGAGTAAGCCATGTCTCATTAGGCTACATACTCAGTGTTTAAAAATGTATTTATTGTATGTAGTTTGCTAAAATAATAAACAGTCAAACGTTGTCCATATCCCTAAATATTTTGCAATTACTTTCAACTTTTGTAATACTTTGCAGCTAAAAATAGTGACAGTTAACAGGTAGAAAGGATGTGTGTTAGTTGTCTCACAAAAATATAGTTTGCCAAACCCAAATAAATGGCTCGAATGACTGCTTTCTGGCTGTATCAAAGGATAAATACTGGATCAAGTTGTTGTCCCACAAGATTTGGATGGATTGAAAACAGTCGCTGTAAGTTGTTGTTAACTTAACTGACTTTATTAAATGAGTTGATCCAAACTCATTCCATATAACTGTGTTGGCTATAAGGAAATGTTAAGCTCTCCAACGTTTATACTGTCAGGGAGGTAAGGACTCGTTGACTGAACATGTTTTAGGGGTGAACCATCCCTAGAAGAGTTTAACATTGATACAAACATTTTGTGTACACAATACTGTGAACTGTGAAGATATAGTGCAAGCATCTCACCTTCACAAAGGAACTCATAAAAAGTGCCTATCTTGTTAAGGTAATCCTGGGCATAGGCGGTCAGTGTGCAGCGAGGGGTTAGGATTTCACATTTGACCTCCTTCTTCCTGGTCTCCTTGCCAAGAAGCAGCACTGGTTTAAAGCCAATGGCATGGAGTTTCTCAAGCTGTAATGACAAAATAATATATTTACTGTTTAAAGAAATGGAAAGGAAACAACTATATAACTACAACTATAACATTACTGATGACAGCATCTAGTTGTATGCCATTCATAAACCTAGATGCTGAGTTTAGCTTTTGCAGAATCATGTATTTACCAGGAAGGGTTACACAGTAGAAGCAGAAAAATATTTTATAGACAAACACAAAATACAAATAAATCAGTATCCTGAGTCCCAGTTCAAACCCTGATAATCTTAAAGTTAAAGTACAATAAGATGCAAATGTGTGACCACTCAACAATTAACAGTTAACACTGTGTACACAATGAGTATTGCATAATTAAAAATGTAACACAATCCAAGCATAGCTTGACACTGTTGAAATTGAAATTGCGTGCTGCAATGTAAAACGTTCCCGTATGTTGTGGCTGCAGTCGTAAGAGTAATATAGAGTAGTAACATACAATGATGTAGTCTTATTAAAGGTGGGGTAGGTAAGTTTGAGAAACCGGCTCGAGATACACTTGTTGTTATATTCCATGGAATGCTCTTAACATCCCGATAGCAATGAATATCTTAAGTGCTTTGACAAAAAATCCATAAAAAAATATCATCTGTGGAAGCCGTGGTACTGTAAAAAGCACGACCAATCATTTGAGCCGGCCCGGCTAAAATAACTGGATGGCCTACCTGCCTGTCAGCCTTCCATCTGTGCACAAACTTATCTCGTGCCCTCATGGTTCGTGTGTGTTGGAGGAGGGGCTCTGTGAGGAAGTGGCAGATTTTCTCCGGTTGTGTATTTTCAAATTCTAGCGCACTCAAGCTGGTTTCTCAAACTTACCTACCCTACCTTTAATGTCTAAAAGTGTGTACATAAGCAAGAATGGAACACAACATGGAAGTTGTTGGAGTAGAATACCTCTGCTACGCGCCGTTCGTTGGATGAGGCTGGATCTCTATTAAATTAAGAAAGGAATTGAAAACACCGGAATCAAAAGTTACAACAATTATCTGAGTTTACTGGTAGGAAATCAAACACATATACAAGTTATACAGAGTACTCCGGGTACCCCGGGCTTTTAGATTTGTGATGCGATGCGGACAAATGCGTCAGGACCCGCCAACTCATCAAACCAAAAAGAAATTGGACTTCAGGTTTGTGATGCGATACGGACACAGTTCTCAGGACCTGCCACTCACCAAACCCAAAAGCAATTTTACACACACAAACGTCAGTATTTCTATCTGTCTTTGGGGCGGAGATTTGTCGATTCTTCCTTCCCACTTTTCTCCCAAGCGAATCAGAGAAGCCCTGGGGAGGAGCTGTTTAAACTGACCACCTCCCCCAAGTGCCCTGACTGGCTGGATTCGCTTCTGGCCGGGTTCAATAGTTCTCTCCAGGACTTGAAATTCCAAAGTCCCCTAAGGTCAAAAGTCAATTCTTATCTCCGTCCCGATCTCCCCTCCCTACCTTTTCCAGGGGATCTTTTCCTATTTTACGATGTCTTTAACGACTTAGAAACAGCATCTGGCTCTTAGAGATGATAACAGCCAATGTTGGTGTGTGAAACACAGAATCTCTGGATCAGTGAGTTTAAAAGTGAGAATAACATTCTTTTTCTAAGTGATTATCAAAACCCGTTCAAACAATACATGTTTACTTCAATACAGTGTAGAATCATATCTTCTTACTTCAATCCCTCTTTTGATCTCACCTCACGAGATCAACATATAGCATTTGAAACATTACCACTGTCAATTTTCTTCTTACTGTGTCTGTCCCAACATTTATATAAACCCATCAGAAGTTGGGATATAGAGCACTTTAAACCTTTAGGAACAGTCCACAACAACAACTTATTATGACAGTGGAGGGAGAATAAAATATGTCTAAAAAGCAAAGTCCTTGTCAGCTGAGTCATCTTTACTCTTCCCTCAATGGTGGAACTGATGAGTCTAACACACAGTGAGCAGATACAAGGCACACAACAACAACCACATGTCACCAAAATGGCAATAAAAGTAGCCACAGAAATCAGAAAAGACATTATCATACTTTTCCCTCTTTTGGTAACACATAGTTCTGTAGAATAAAAAATACAAATCCCTTACATTATGGGATATAAAAATAAAGTTGAAAGTTCCTCAAAAAAAAAAAAATTGATTGTTCAGACAAAGTTCCACACCGGCTATATCAACCTGTTTCAGCGGGAAATGGAGTTCCCTGTGCCGTCTTGGTTTGCCATATCTTCGTCCCCCCAGCCCGCTGACGGCGGCTTCTGGGGTGCCTGCTAGAGAGATGTGGCCTGATTGTCCTCCCCCGGCCCGCTGATGGCGGCTTCCGGGTCGACTGCCTTGACGAGAGCCAGATCTGTTCTGATGTCGTCTAGGGTCCTCGCGACGAGGGCCAACTTTGTCCTGATGTCGTCCAGGGTCCTCGCAGGTGTTTTTCCCGACCGCAGACTGGCTCCAGTGGTACCAGTTGTCTCCCTTTCCATCTAGGCGAACGGCATGAGAGGTCCCCTCCAACCAGACGTAATCTGCTGTGTTGGCCTTGTGTTTCTCGGGTCCCCCTTTTGACGTCAGCAGCCTGTGTGGAGAAGTCTCATACCAAGCCCTTAAGTTGCTGGAAATATGGTTTTGAAATCATCTCAAAAAATAAAAATCAAAAATAAAAATCAAAAATCAAAATAAAAATAAAAAATAGAACAAAAATAAAAATAAAACAAAAAAAGGAACAAACTAACAAAACAAAAAATAACCAAAGCTAGATTATTTTAAATGTATCAATTTCTCTTAAAAGCAACAAATAAAACAAAACAAAAAATACCATAACTAGTATTTTAAATTGATAAATTTCTCCTCAAAACGTAATAATCTCACATACATATTGTCTGATGTATATCCTATCCTTTTCCCCCTTTTTCTGAAATAGAACGCCGTTAACGGTGTTCTTATTTTCAGAAACATCGAGCCTTATACATCAGTTATTTAATATCAGCTATATATTTACTATTACTATTACTTATATATCAGGCATTAAATGTCAGCCTTCTTCCATGATCGACCTCGTCTACATTATCTGACTTATATTGATACGCGTCTGTTTGTATTTATTTAATATACTGGGCAATTATTGATAACTTTCTGAATCTCCCTCTTTTCTTAACAACTGGAGGTATGGCTATTTTGAAATCTGACTTGGTTAAGAGATGATTTGTTTATTGGTGAAAGGAACACTCTTCCCCTCAATGGTGTGGGGGTGGATATTTAGGGAGAGTTCCTTACAATCTCCAGATCTTCCTCTCAGTGTAGAGGCCATAAAACCTTTTAATGGGCTCTGTGGTCTGTTCAGATTTAGATTTTCTTCCTCTCCAGAGGTCACGCCTGTCTTTGACCCTGTATGCTGCTTTGAGTCAGCAGCACCTCAGGACAGAGAAAGGGAGATCTC